TCCTGCTGGTGGTGGCGGCGGGGGAGGGAGAAGCCTTGAAGGGCTGGCGCTGGGAGCCGCGGACATTGTTGCTGTCGGCAGGAGGGGGTAGCCTGGCGGCCCCGCAGCAAAGAGCCACACAGGGCTCGCCGCCATTGCTGCTCGCGGTGCCGGGGGGGAACCTTGGAGGGCCGGTGGCTAGACTCAGCCGCAGCCGTTGCTGCTGTCCTCGGGTGTGTGTGTGAGGGGGAAGCCTGGCGAGTCCAGCGGACCGCCTGCTGGGCTCACCAGCAGCCGCTGCCGCGTCCTCTTCTGTGCTGAGCTCCTGCTGCTTCAGCAGGCGAGCCACCCAGGAGAATACTCCCCCCGCCCCGCGAGTATCGCGGGTCCCACCTCTAGTATTGCTCTAATGGTATTATTTGACTGTTGGACTCTGCCCTGAGCCCATCTGGGGAGGGCGGTATATAAATCTAATAAAATAAAGTAATTAAAAAATAGTAAAGGGCGCTCTTGACTCTCAAAGGTTCACACCCTGGAAATCCTGTTGGTCTCTAAAGTGCTACTGGACTTGAATCTAGCCTCTCCCATGTTACAGAATTTGATAGCAGTTCCTTTACAAAGGGCGTTGCTTCGCCAGAAGGAATTCCATGCATCCCGAACTTAACGCCCGCAGAAGAATCCCATCCGTGAATGCTGCAGGAAGTGTACTTGGGCAACGACAGAGGGGGTCACGGGTTCGTTTGGGAAGGCCGGAGTCTGTATTTTAGCTTTCTGGGTCTAGAGAGGGGGAAAGTTTGAGTCATAGAATCAGAGAATCACAGGTTTGTAAGGGGCCATACAGGCCATCTAGTCAAACCCCCTAATCGGTGCAGGAACAGCCTAGAGCTGCTGCTTAAAGACTGCAGGGGAGGAGGCGCTCACCGCCTCCCAAGGCAGCTGATTCCACTGTTGCACAACTCTGTCTGTAAAAAAAGTTTTTCCTAAGATCCAGCCAGTACCTTCCCACCCTTGATTTAAAACATGATTGCAAGTCCTCTCCTCTGCTGACAACAGGAACAGCTCCCTGCCTTCCTCCAAGTGACGGCCCTTCAAAGACTTCAAGAGAGCAATCCTGTCCCCCCTCAACCTCCTCTTCTCGAGACTGAACACGCCCAAGTCCCTCAGCC